TCATAATTTTTCTGGCTTTTAAACTATGCAATAAGATCCTTTAAAAATTCAGCTAAGATCATCCATGTGGGAATAAAGCTTCAAATTGGAGGCAAAATAGACAATTCTTTGCACAAAATACAATGTAATAAAATAAGCCATTTGATAGATTAAAAGTTTGGCTTTCTATTGGTTATACACCCAATATAGTATAAAACGTCAGAGAGAATAATTTGTGAAAAATGGGATGTGACAAGAGGGTATGGCAAGTGGTCTAGCTTATGGCTCTGCAGACAAATAAAATTGAAGGCTATAAAAATTATGCTTTGTCTTAGTAATAGCAATATTATGATATCTCAGTTTATTTCAATAAACTATTGTTAAGCTAATATATGTAATAAATGAGCATACATGTAACAGGAATATAGATACACAACCATACTTTTTTGTTGTTTATCTAACTCACCTCGTTAACCAATGCAGTCTGAGCCTCAGGAGTGTGATTACAAGAAGCTAAAGCTGCAATAAGAACTCTGGCTAATGCTGGAGTGTCTTTATCTCCTGCTGTCTGACACTGGGGTAATAGGTTGTCTAGGATAAAAGCTAAGGCTGTGCAGCTCTGAGAAAGTTTCCAAAACAATGCTCAATAAACATATTAAAATAATAAAAAAACAGTACAATAAAAAACTAATTTGCAATGGTTTTACAAGAAAACTAAACCAAGCTGTGTGTTATAAAAAAATTTGATTTCTATACAAATACATATATACCATTAAACATTTTATAATTTCCAACTTGCCATTAAAGATATATATATATGATTTTTATAAAGTGAAATTTCACCTAATAGTATGGAAAGAACAACACAAGGAAAAGTCAATGTTCATGGAGAGTAACATATATTTATTAATGTATAATTGTGTTGAGTGTAAATTAATTATTCTTTCAAAATGTTATTGTTATTATGCCTCCTGAAATAATTCACATGTAATTAATTACATACAAAGTCATATAAACAAAATAGATTCAGAAAAACATGAGAAAAGTCTCTCTCACTTCAGAAATGAGCTCCGTCTGAGCAGCGGAATATGTGTGTTCTACAACTAACTTGGCACAACCCCCATACGATCTGATTAGTTCAGCTAAAAGTCTACAGATGGCTGACTTGGGTAACAATGGCCTAGTTTTCTTAGCAAGCTCCTCTGCTTTCTGATCCTTTACTTGTTTGCTGTCTTTTCCTGCAGTAGTTGAATCACTGGTGTCAATGGTATCTAATGCAGCTAGCTGAATAAAAGAAATAAAAATAACAATTCAGAAATACATACATTAACAGAAAGAAATATTGCTAAGTATTTAAAATCAGAATATACTTAATGATAAATGATACTTAATGTCTAGTAACTATCCACAACCATATCTTGATATAAAACAACCTTTAGTGCTATACCTATCCTTATGAAACAGCTTATTGTATAGTATTAACCTTATTGCCTGGGTACCCTTTACTGCACATGACACAAGGTTTTGGTGTCTTACATTCAAAATTTTATTATACTACTTTTTGTTTATGTTATACCAATTAGAATAGCATAAAACGTTAGCTAATAATCCATATTTTAATAGTATACAAGTTAAGTTCTTAATTCTACGAGGCAATATTTAAAAAAAAAAATCTTGAATTTCCACTAGTGTGACCCATATGACATTTTTTCCTAGCATGTCATCATCTCTATTTTATTCACCACCCCTCAAAACAGTATGAAATTAAAAGTAAAATACTCTCTATAAAATCGTTATTGCTCAAACAAAC